TAAACTGGCATCAGTGATCCCAAGATGAGGAACGTGGTTCTCTGAGATTGTTGCACAGAACAGTCTGATCTGGATTGAGGGCTCAGCAGAACTGAAGAGTGAGTGAGTAACAGTTGACTAGGTGAACGGGGTCAGGAGTAGTAGAGACATCCGGGGACAGAGGGGAGCTGGAAAGAGGCTTTGTGGAAGATTCCGGTGCCCGCGCTCTGAGCTCTCCCTTCCCTCTTTCCTGCTCCTCACATGGGAAGATTAGCCGAGTGACTCAGGCAGTTAGTTCTGTGTTTGACCAGCCCTTGCTTATTGTCACCAAATGCCTTTTTATAAAATCTCTGTCAGTGTGGCAGAGCAAAGGATGAGTTACAGAAATAAGATTCTTACACTCTAAAACATAATAACCCCCAAAGTAGCTGGTATTTATAAACAGATGAATTACAACAAACTCATAGGTAAAGAGCAGCCTCCTCCTCCTTCGTGCACGCGCGCGCATGTGTGTGTGTGTGTTTCAGAAGACTTCGTAGCATCCTGGAATATTAGCTGGGAGGGACTGCAGAGGTCATATGGCCTTTTCTCTGCCTGCCTGACCCCTGGGTTTCTTTTTAGAACATCCACCTCCATTTGCTAACTCCATTTTGATATCTTCAATAACATTCTGTTCCCTTTTGGGTCAAATTCTGTTAAGAAAATGTGGATGTTCCTTATATTACACTGTAATCTATCTTCTTATCATCTTCAGGATGCCTTTCCTTGGAACAGGTAAAAATTCCTCTTCCCTGAAGAGCTTAGATTCTCACTGCGCCTATAGCTGTGGCTTCTCACCTGCCTTTGCCACCGTTCCAGGCAGCCCTTTGATGGACAGTAAAGGAAGATGCCCCCTTGAATGTTCACATCCACCTACTGTCCTGAGTCTACCCTGACTTCGGGGCACTTCCCCCATCCCTTTCCTCGTGACTCCAGCCCTCGTTTCAGCCCAATGCCTCTTAAGCTGTCGTGCTGTAGGAGTTTCCTTCCTTCTTTCCCTTGTCCCCTTTTTATTTATTACCACTGTGACTTTGGGTAAGTGCCTCATTCCCTGCCAGTAAAATGGGGCAGTTAGGAATGCTTATCTTATGGGATTGTTGGGCCGTCCCAACAGGAAACTGTGTAGAGAATGTTTAGAATAGTGCCTGGCACATAGTAGGTGCTACGGAAGTGTTAGCTGTGAATATCATTATTACTGACCTCCTCCAATCCTATGCCAGGTCTACCATCCCAAATCATTCCTTTCATTAGGCCTTACACCTGCTCAAAAGTCTGCAGTCTCCCCATGGTCTATCAGTTGTCCCTAAAGTGAGTGTGTAAGACAAATTTCCAGGGTGTGGAGAGGGAAAACTGACATCATTTATATGTTTTTATCTCATTCTTTTAAATTTTCGACTTTTTTGAGTATGTTTTATACTGTATATTTTTGAGTGAAGGTATATTTATAATTTATAAATGTATGCAATACAAGTAAATATTTATACATATTTACACCAATATGTGTAAATAAATGAACATACATATATTGGTGGTATGTTAAAAAATGTTTTACAAATAAGGGAGTGCAAGCCGGCGTGTTTGGGGATCCTGGCCTGGAAGGTGAGGTCCAGACCCTGAGCCTGGCATTTCCCTGTGGCTGGCCCTCCACTGAGAGTCCTGACTGTCCTCTCGGTCCCCTTCCTCACGCCCGTCACCCTCGCTCCACCTGCCCCACCTTGTGTCTTTTCGATTTCTGTCATTGTTCATCCCCTCTTCCATTCCTAGATATTCTCTCTTATTTTCTTTTCCTATCCAGAAGTTCACCTTAAATGCCACTTGTTCCATCAAGCTTGCCAGGACACTTCTTGCTTGAAATGCTTCCTCCAGGCTCCCCGGGCATGCTTTGTCAATACTGCTCATTTGGCCCCTGCTCTTTTCTACTTTGCGTTGAGATCTTTTGCCATGTATATTTCTTGGCTCCATAGTTATTCTATGTTAATTCTCACATGAACATGTCTTTAAATTATGTTTTGCTTGCTGACTTTATTTTCATAGGATTATCATTTATCTGGAGACACAAAGCTATACTTTTTGAGTGACTTTAATGTATCTCTATTTTATCGTAGTAATATATAATTCTTTACTCTAAGGAAGAGATTCATTTGTTACATTTGTGATCTGAATCTCCTTGGATTTGATGGCATGCTTTAGCCTGAGGCAGACACTTATCTACAATGCAGCAATGAACATCTTTTGTGTGTGAATTGATTATTTCCTTTTACTCCAGGTGACCTAAAATCATAATCCTTGTGTTTAATGTCTGTGTTTCAGGACTTATAGTCCTGAGTTCTGCATGTCCTCCTGGGAAGTGAGGAAAGCTGGATGGTACACAGAACACATCCATTTAATCTGGATTTTCCCCCTCCTCAAACACTGTGAGAACGGCTGTTTCATCAGCCAGGTTTTATGCATTCGTGACAGCAGCTGTGCAATCACTGGAGATGCCATTGGTCCTGGAGTCAGAAGACAGGTTTAAATCTTGATTCCATCACTTGCTGGTTGTTTGGACTTGAATAAGTCATTTAACCTCTCGAGTTATTTAACCTCATCTGTGAAATAAACTTAATAATACATATGTCACAGACTTTTTATGAGGATTAATTGAGAGAGTACCTATGAATGTGTCAGGCATTTAGGAGATGGTCAATAAGTGTCTGTTTAAAAGAAATAGAAAAATAAGAGTCTCCTCTGTCTTCTGTGACCTTTCTGATGCAGAGTATATTTTGGGGTGAAACGGACAGCTTCATAGAGTGCACCCACCTGACTGGGCAAACAGGCTGGGACTGAAGGCTGGACATCAGGTCAGCCTGGTTTCTGGGCTTGTCTCTGATAGAATGCTTATGGCCTCCCCAGGGAGCATGAGGATTAATTAGTTAATCTTTGTGAAGTGCTTTGAAGGTGAAAAGTGCTATGTAAGTGGAATGGTTGAATTGCTATTGGAGATGTGATTATGGTGGCACCGTATTCTGGCAGTCTTGCCTGACTTGGACATCAGTAATCGATAGCAGGGAAGGTTCTAAGATGTTTTACTTGATAAGAAAGGATTCAGTGTGGGATTTGTGATCACATAATTCCTCTGTAGAACTGCAGATAGCAACTCGCCAGTTATTCCTAGCAGAGTAATGCTAGGGTTACTTAAGAAGTCACAGTCTCCTCGTCTGACTGCTTGGGAATTTCTCTGCTATAAGACAGTCTGGTTGTAACTCTCAGCCAGCTCAGGTGAAGGGACGGTTTGCCAGTTTGATGGGTCGCTTTGCGGGTCCTGGGCACATAGGCTTTTTTGGGTCTAATCTTACAGAAGTGAAGGAAGAGTGTTGAGTAGTTACTCAGTGATGTGGACCAGTGTGAATAAAGTACCAAGGGCTTGTAGAAGGAGAAGTGTCTTAGCTGTGTGACCCTGGGCTGGGTACTTTTCCGAACCTTAATTTTCTTACCTGTTAAATGGGAACATAGTAGCGGATGAGTACAATAATAAAGATGGCTCGTGGGAGGGTGGCTTTCACCCTTTCTGTGGAGAACTGAGAAGTCAAGAAAGGTTTCACAGAACTGGTGACACATGAACTGGACTGTAAAGGTTGAGCCATGGTTCATCAGTTGAGTAACATAAGGAAACGTGATCCATGACAAAAGGAACAGCATACATGAGGCCATTAGGTAGAACATCTGAATGGACCCACTCTCAGTTCTTATGATATGCCTGCTTCTTCATGGGCTGCCCAGACTTTGCTCCCTCTTCGAAGAAGCCCAGAGGCCAGATTCCTGTGAACTTCTCGCTATCTGCGGTAATGTCCATAAGCAGACCAATCCTGAGAACTTTGTCCCTGCAGAGCCCTGAATCTCTTTCATAATCTGACAATTCCTCCATTAGTCTGTGGTTGTTTTTTAGCTGACACTATAAGCCATATGTTGAATGTGGGGCCAGATGAAGCCTTGATACTAAACACAGAGTATGTAGTAGATTTGTCTAGAATTTAATATGCATTACTTGGTGTTTTGTCTCTTAAGCAAAGTTTTTCTTTGTTAAAATAAACATGTATAAAGAATTTATACAGCGCACATGGTTATGCATATTTATTGCAGAGAATCTGTTAATAATCTATGCCTCATCGGATTTTGCATTTCTGTTGAAATAACAAATGCGGCACTTGGTACAACTGAATGAATTTGGTGAATTTTCTTTTATCTGGGAGAAGAAAGGCCATTTCTCTTTTTCCAAACTTCATTTTCTTCAATCATCTTTAGCACTGGCCAGTTTCCCAGGTGACGCATCTAGAGAACTGAATGCTTTTCTGGCTCTAAATGGTTTTGTCTTTTTTTCCTTCTATCATTCCCTTCCTTCTAGCACACGTAGACATTTGTCTTGGGACTGTTAGAATTGCTCCTTTGAGTAAGAGCGTAGACTCTGAAAGTCCTCTTATGTTACATGGAGGGGAAAAGACATGAAACAGGCTATTAATTGAGCTCAGAGTAAGGGAATAAGGGATTGTGACATGGGGCAAGTCAGAGGCCTGAGGGACTTAAAGGTGGCTGATGGGGGCCCTGGACTTGGTGAGAGAGAGGAGAGCCTGAGAACAGACATCAGGGCAAAGCGCAAGGCGGCCGTGGGGACGGGAGAGGGTGGGTAGGCCATAAAGTGTGGTCGAAGCATTCTATGTAGTCATGTCCATATGTGTTCAAATACAGGAGCATGGGCTTTAGAATCAGCCTCTGTTGGAATGCAGCTCTGGTACTTATCACTTACTTGATCTTGACCAAGTCATTTTACCTTTCTGAACATCAGCTTCCCATATCTGTAATATGAATACTTATGCTTTCTTTATGGGAAGATAGGAAGGCTCCTGGTACATAGTAGTTGGTACTAAAAGAAATGTTCACGCTTTCTCTTATAATTTAGTGCCTACCCATGAGAACACAGCCTTACTCAAAATATGTTTTGTTTTTAGAAACTGGCAAGGTGTTTACCTGGGGCCGAGCAGACTATGGTCAACTAGGGAGGAAGTTGGAGTCTTGTGAAGACTGGACACGGGAAAAGCAGGGTTCATCCCTCCCCTGCTCAAGACCACAGAAGAGCACGCCTTCGTCTCTGCAGTGCTTAACGGGAGCAACTGAGGTAGGAAATGACGTAACATAAATGTGATGCATCTCTTCTTCTTGTCTTTCAGTGAAGCGTTTATTGAGGGTCTGCTGTGTGCTTTAGTCGCGGCGTTACAGCACGCTCCACACGGGAATCCGAAAGGGTCCTTGCCTCAAGTTGCTTGTGGTTTAATATGGTAGAAAAGGCAGTTATCCAGATCACTATGCTGCGAGGCAGACTGTGTGTAACGACTTTGGAGAGGTTCTAGGTACTATGGGTCCACTTCGGGAATGAGTAATGAATTCAGGGTTCAGGGATTAGGTTAGGTCTCAAGGAGGACATGGCTTTGAGCTGTGCCTTGAAGAATGGGTCAGACGTGAGCAAGCAGCTATAAGAGAGAAGAGGACTTTTAGGTGGGCACGACAGCTTGAACAGAGTCTAGGGATTAGGAAAGTGAAGAAAGTGTTTGGGGGACCACTGGTGGTTCAGTTTGTCTGGAGCAGGGGGTGTCTGTGGGGGAGAAGATGAGGTAATATCAGGAAGATGGGCTGCAACCTGATCAAGGGGCCCTTAACACTGGGCTAAGTATTTGGCACTTCTGTTTATATTTCCCAGTGTAGAAAACATTGTAGTTCAGTTGCTTATTCAAGCCCCTGTAGTTTCCTGAAATGTCTTGAATTTCTACACTTAAGGCAGGAGTCTTAATTTCTCCAGGGTGTGTGTTTCTGTTACTAAATTTTACTTTACCGCTGTCCTTAAAAAAAAGAAAAGGCTCGGTTTTTGAGAAGAATGAGGATGGCCACGCAGGAAATGTGCCTCTGAACCCAAGTTGGCTTAATAAAGGAATTCAGTCTTCATTCAGAGTCTGTCAAAAAAAATTAATAAGCTAGTGAGACTTCTGTAATTAGCATCAGACTAATTACACCCCTCACCATACCTAGAGGACTTCCCTTCCCCGGGGCCTGCCTGGCCTCCTCCTCCCGGGTATGTAGGACGGTTCTCCATTTCTGCTTCACATCCCAGCCCCGGTCCTCCTGGGTCTTTCCTTAGAGCTGGGTTGAGTCTGTCTGTCTTTCTCTCTCTCTTTCTTTAATTGAAAAGACACTAAACAACACTGCAAAGACAATTTAGACGTGGTAATAATAAAAAAAATCCGTGATCTTACCACCCTACCACAGCTACATTCCTTTTTGTATGTATATATGTACATACTTTACAAAGCTACAGGTGATAGCATTTCTAATGCTTTGTACTCTGTCTTCACTTATTTGATCACAAATTCTTTACTCTGTTTTTCTTGGTCTTTAAGATCCTTTAAAATGGTTATATAACATGGGTGGAAGGTTCTGGGATTTTCCAAATCATTCTTTGAATGTTGGACATTTAGATCATATATATATAGGCACTGTGGTGGACTCTGCAGTGGATACTTTGTTAAACTGTTTCTTGAATATGCAATCTTAGGGATGAAATTGAAGGGGCAAAGGCCATGAGCATCTTTAAGACTTTTGCTATATTTCTCTGGATTCTGTTTGAAAGAAGTTGCTCCCACCAGTAGTGAATGAGGGAATGCAGTATTTAAGTGGGTTTTGTCTGCTTATCACATTCAGGTGCTGAGAGCTTGGTATATATAGTACTTTAGACCACTGGGCCATGGACTGGTATCAGTCTGTGACTTGTTAAGAACTGAGCAACACAGCAGGAGGTGAGTGGCAGGCGAGTGAGCCAAGCTTCATCTGTGTTTGAAGGCGCTCCCTGGCGCCAGCATCACTGCCTCAGCTCCACCTCAGATCATCAGGCATTAGATTCTCATAGCAGCACCGGTCCCTGGTTCCAAAACGGTTGGGGACTGCTCCTTTAGACTCTTTTGCTTTTCTTTGTCTTTCCCAGAACATTTAAGACTTTGTGGTCAGGCAGCATAGCAGAAACACAAAGGCTTCATGGAAAGGCGCTCCCCAGCGCCAGCATCACTGCCTCAGCTTCACCTCAGATCATCAGGCATTAGATTCTCATAGCAGCACCGGTCCCTGGTTCCAAAACGGTTGGGGACTGCTCCTTTAGACTCTTTTGCTTTTCTTTGTCTTTCCCAGAACATTTAAGACTTTGTGGTCAGGCAGCATAGCAGAAACACAAAGGCTTCATGGATTATTCTGAGTCTCAGAGGGTCATCAATGAGGATTACATGCAAAGTTCTTGGCATGTGTCAGGCACTCAGTAACTGGTAGGTCCTTTCTCTTCTTCCCTTTTGAAGCCTTTTAATGTCCTCAGTGGCCATGATGTGCAGCACTATGACAGCCATGGCCAGTGCAAACATATAGCCTAAGAGCCTGACGCTGATGTGACTTTTATCTTATTCTTAGAGGGGCAATCTGAGGCATCGACTTGAGCCCCATGGCAACCTCATGTAGTGCTCCCCTCCATCTCTGCTCTAGTATCACACAGGTTTAGACTCCAGGCTGTTTTCATAAATCGGGCCTGGGAATCATCTCCGCTGTTGATATCTAGGTCTGGCCTGTCAGGCATCTAGATGCCTGAGGCCCAGTGCTAAGCCAGTGAACAGTGTAAGCTTCTAGGAGTAATTGTCAAGACCAAATGCCATTCCAAGCCCTAGTCACCTTGGACAAGACAAGAGCCCTACTAAACCAGTTGTTACCATGGTCGGCCTTGGCCGCGGAGGTGCAGGGACTCCTGTGGAGTCAGGAAACGCCTTGAACTAAGTTGACAATTCCTGACCTTCAAGGAATTGAAGTGTGGCCCATAGCTGACCATTTTCCATCTTTAATGTCCAAGGGATAAGCAGAGGGAGGACTGAGCTATCTGGAATGGGGCCTCAGGTAGGATGTCTACCCAGAAGGGTCCAGAGGGACAGCTAAGCAGGAGGAGAAGGCACAGGTATATAGAGCTGGACTGTGGAATAACTGTCCCTTCCTGTGAACATAAGAAAGCAAATAAATACAATGTTACCTGGTGGTTGTTATGGGTCAGGCAGCGTGCTAAATGCTTTAATTATATATTATTTCTCATCTTCACAATAAACCTGGGTACAGGTTTCACTGCTTTACAAATAAAGATACTAGGGCTCAGAATGGAGAAGTCACTGGTCCAGGATCACACAGTAGATAAACAGTAGGGCTCGGATTTGGACTTGAAGTACTTGGAGCTCACATACTTTCTGTATAGATGAAGTAAAATTACATATGTCCTTTTACATGTGTACCCTCACCTAGATAAATATTCTGGAAGTCTGGGAATCAGATTCCTTGAGAATCTTAATTCTTTTCTTCTGAGCTGTGTCTCATCTCTGGCCTGAGAAAGACTTTGAGATTTTAGACCAGGTGGGCCTGCCTTTAATGTTCTTAACAGTGGTAAGGACTATGTACTTCATGCATTGTCAGATTTGCCTTAGATACTAGGCCTGTCTGACCACTCCTGGAAAATTTCAGGGGCCACACAGTGATCGGGGTTACCCTGCCCTGCACACGTCAGGGCAGGGTGTGTGTGAACAGGTTTGTTTGCACAGCAGCCTTTTGCTTTCCGGGTCCCAGGTGAGGCTGCTACCTGCACATTTGCTGTGGAACCTTGGCTCTCAACTCCACCCACAGGTGGAAGCCTGCATTTCATAGTCGAGCAGAAGTGCTTGTGCTCATTTAGTGGGTACATTGCGCCTCCTCCAGGATTCTGAAGCAGGTAGAGCTGGGCACCTGGTGTGTTCGTGAAACCATCAGGAGACCTACTTGACTGAAGGTGAACAGCCTCTGAGGGACAAGGTCTAGACTGGGAGTCGGGAGACCTGGGTTCTAGCTCTGGTTGTGCTCTGACTTGGTGAATCTGGGCAAGCCCCCTTTCCTCCTGCACCCTTAGTCCCCCCACACCCCCATATGTAGGTTGGGGATGTTAGATCAGGTGATTCCTAAGGTTTGTTATAGATCTAGAAGTCCCTTCCATCTGTGATTCTTATTTCCCATAAATGATCACTCCTTAAATGACTCCTGCCCCTGGAGTCCCTTAATGTCATAGCCAAGATCACTTAACCCCTAGCTGCTCTCTCAACTTTGGCAGACCTGCGAAAGTTAACTAATATAGAAGTTCCAGGCTTCAGTACCATTTGAGCTTTGCTCTGCCTCTCTGCCTTGACTCTGTTCTCTGCCCTTGTTCCTTGTCCCCAGGGCCTCCTGCTCCAGTTTAGGTCATTGGGACTTAGTATGATGCTCCCGCCTGGTCCTCCTAGGACTTGCAGTTTGGCTTTCACTCCTGTCCCTGTGGCTGTGCCCTTATTGCCGGGGGCAGGCAGGCCTCAGTGACACGACCTTCCTGACTTCCCCGTCCGCCAGGCCCTCCAGGCTCTGTGTGTGTAGTTCTACCTTTCCTGCTTTCCTGCATCGGCCACACAGTGCCAGTGGGTGGGGAGGTGGATACAAAGCTAAAGAATACATGTCTTTGGCCTAAAAGAACTGCCAGGTACATAAATAAATCCTTACTGTACAGAGTGAAAAGTGCTGTTAGTGGTATGTATGACAGGCCAAGGAAGCAGTGAAGACAGAATGATTAATTCCAAAGACACTAACAAAAAGAAGTATTATTTGAACTAGATTCTTAAAAATGAGTAGGAGCTCAACAAAGGTAGAAGGACATGCCAGGCAGTGGGGACAACGTGAACTAAAACCGTGAATCTAAATCTGCTTTAACTGCTGGTACAATCGGGATGCCTGCCCGTTCCAGTGGTCCGGCTTAGTTTTACAGTAATGCTGCCTCTCTAGCCTGCCCCTTCACTGCCATCCGTCCTTCTGATGGGAGTACTGTCTGAAGGAAAATCACTCTCACATACATTCTCTTGTTTGATCCCAGGGCGATGCTGTGAAATGGGCCAGAATAGGAATGGTTATCCTCATTTCACAACTGAGGCCCAGAGAGGCTAGCGAGGAATTAGAAGACTGCGGGCAAGCAGCTGATTTCCAGTGTTTCTGAGGGCCTTGCTCTGGCCGCAGTCTGTTGCCATGGTCCTGAGTCATGTTCCTGGTTTAAATTCTGCCCACGTT